CTCCTCAAAGTCACCAGAGGGGGAGCCAGTGTCCAGTCACAGCCCCAGTGACCTGCACCTACCCTCTCCCTTCCCTCATCCCTGCACTACTCAAAGTCACCAGAGGGGGAGCCAGTGTCCAGTCACAGCCCCAGTGACCTGTGCCCATCCACTCCCTGGTCCTTCCCTCATCCCTGTATGGTGGATTGGGGGGCCAAGGGGTAAAAGGGCCACTGCCCTTATCTCTGGATTCCCTGGGTGGTACAAACAGTTAACAATTAACGTGCTCGGCTGCTAACTGAAAGATGGAAGTTCAAGTCTACCCAGAGATGCCTCAGAAGAAAGTCCTTGGCGATCAACATCCGAAAAATCAGCCTTTGAAAACTCTGTGGAGCACAGTTCTGCTCTGACACACATGAGGTTACCATGAGTCAGAATTGTCTCAATGGCAACTAACAACACCAACCCGCTCAGCAGAGGTCTGCAGCCCATGGCAGAGGCAGGTGGGGCCCCAGTAGGAGGAAGGAAATGATGGGAGTCCTGGGCGGGGCACAGAGGGATCCAGCCGCAGGGCTCAGAGGGAGTCTGGTGGGGGGCAGCTCTGGGCAGCCTCTCTTCCTCCCTCTCCCAACCGGCCTTTGCCTCATGAGTGACTGGTGGGGCAGGGCGGCCAGTCGCACCCCCTCTCTGGGCCTCAGTCTGGGGTACAGTGACGGGCACCAGTGCAGGCCCCCAGCAGTGCTCTTGGAACCCAGTGCTCCCAGTGGGGCCTTAGGACCTCAGGGTCCCCGCCCCGGCTCCACCAGTGGTGACCCTGGTGTCTTACATCTCTTGACAACCCCTGAATCAGCTGTACCCTGGTCCCCACAAATTCATTCCGCCGGGAAGCCGAGGAGTGAGTCTCCCTGGCCTGCAGAGTCTCACATCCTCCTGGCCCCTCCTCTGCAGGAGCAAGTCGCAGTCTGAGATGAGCCTGGAGGGCTTCTCGGAGGGCCGGCTGTTGTCCCCTGTGGCCGCGGCAGCAGCGGCCCGCCAGGACCCCGTGGAGCTGCTGCTGCTGTCCACCCAGGAGCGGCTGGCAGCAGAGCTGCAGGCCCGGCGGGCGCCGCTGGCCACCATGGAGAGCCTGTCGGACACGGAGTCACTGTACAGCTTCGACTCACGCCGCTCCTCCGGCTTCCGCAGCATCCGCGGCTCACCCAGCCTGCACGCCGTGTTGGAGCGTGACGAGGGTCACCTCTTCTATATCGACCCCGCCATCCCCGAGGAGAACCCCTCCCTGAGCTCGCGCACGGAGCTGCTGGCGGCAGACAGCCTCTCCAAACACTCGCAGGACACGCAGCCCCTGGAGGCGGCCCCGGGCAGCGGGGGCGCCTCACCCGAGCGGCCCCCCAGCGCAGCAGCCCATGGCAAGGAGGAAGATGGGGACGGCGGGGCAGCCCCCCACGGAGAGCTGGCATTGCACAACGGGCGCCTGGGGGACTCGCCCAGCCCACAGGTGCTGGAGTTTGCTGAGTTCATCGACAGCCTCTTCAACCTAGACAGCGAGAGCGGCTCCTTCCAGGACCTGTACTGCATGGTGGTGCCCGAGAGCCCGACCAGCGACTACACCGAGGGCCCCAAGTCCCCCAGCCAGCAGGAGATCCTGCTCCGAGCCCAGTTCGAGCCCAACCTGGTGCCCAAGCCTCCGCGGCTCTTTGCCGGCTCCGGCGACCCCTCCTCGGGCATCTCGCTCTCACCCTCCTTCCCGCTCAGTTCCTCGGGTGAACTCATGGACCTGACGCCCACGGGCCTCAGCAGCGAGGAGTGCCTGGCCGCCGACAAGATCCGGACTTCTACCCCCACTGGCCGAGGGGCCAGCCCTGCCAAGCAGGATGACCTGGTCATCTCGGCACGCTAGCAACTAGGAGTGACTGCCAGCTGAGGCTCAGGCCGGAACAGGTGGCCCCGCGGGTACCTGGAGGCTGCCCCCAGGCTGGGCAGCTTTGAGGAGAGGCCCCTCGGGGCCAGTTTCGCCTCAGGCATGGGGCATTGCTGCTGAGCTGGGGGTCCGCATCCCTACCTCAGCTTAGGACCCCCAGAGCCAAGGTGGGGGGACCTGAGTCCTCCAGACGGGGGTGATGGGGAAGGGGACGGAGTGGGAGGAGCCTGGGGCAGCCTGCCAGGATGGGAAGGGCAGAGCACTCGGCCCTCTCAGCCTGACTGCCCCCCACGGGGGCACCCTGGCACCCCTACTTCAGGACAGGCAGGGGGCAAGCTGACGCCCCATCGCTGCCCTCCCGGGGCCAAGGTGGAAGGAGAGCAGCCCCTCCCCCCATACTCTCATCCATCCTCCCGGCTGCCATCTACCCTGGCCATCCCCCAGATCTGGAGCTTGCTGTGTATGTTTACAGAAGCTGCTGGGCTTAGCACAGGATGTGTCCTGGGCTTGCAAGCCCCCTCTCCCAAATCATGTGTTCAGCACCCCCCGCTGAACAGGGCAGGGCCAGCCCTACAGGGCCCAAGGCAGACCTGGGGCCTGGAGGAAGGTGGGCTCAGGACTGCCCTTTCTCTGTGGGTGTCCCTCCTGCTGCACCTCTGTGGATGGGTCCCAGCCTGCCCAGTCTGCCCGCTGCTTCCTGGCTCGCCTTCAGCCCCCGGAGAGCCTGGGCACTCAGACGGTGGAAGGCTGTGGTGTGGCTCTGGTGTGACCACCCCTGGCTGTGTAGTCAGGGCCTGGGAGGAGGGCCCCACCCAACCCTTTTGTGTCATTCCCATGCCCAGGCAGCCCCCGGCCCTGGGATCTGAAACCAAACACGTGCCCCCTCACTCCACCTGCTCACAGGCCTGGGCTCCCTCCTGGGAGCAGGGCTTTCTCCCTTCCCACCCCTAACGTCCTCCTGCTGTCAGGGAGTAGGGCCAGGAGTGGGCATTGTGCATCCTGGCCGGAGACCCTCTGCCCCCTGCCCAGGGGAGAGGCCAGGGGCTCTGGGGCCTCCACAGCCCTCATTTGAGGGGTTCCTTCCCTGCTGGGTTTGGGAAGCTGTTGGGGAGGTAGAGACCTGGCCTTTCCCCACAAGCAGCGGGGGGGTCGTGCATGCAAGCGGGGGGCATGTGTGTGCATGTGCATGTGTGCGCCATCCCTGCAGAAGGGGCGCTGGGGGCACCCACTGCCTCCCTGCCCACTGCCCCACACGGCCTGCACAGACACAGTAAGCACAGGCCGGAGGCAGATCGGGGACAAGTTCAATCTCAGACATCGTGCGTTCCCTGCTGGAGCCTGCTGCTCTGACACCTGGCTTGTGAGCTGAGATGTGGAGTGCCTGCTGTGCCTTCCTTTCCTCAGAGGCACAGCCCCCCACTCTGGCCCCCGCCCCCAGCCTCCCTGGGTCTGCTGGGTTGCCCTAGCCAAGCCCCCCCCCCCATCTCATGATCACTGGTGTCTGGGAGTCTGAACCCTCACACACACATCCCTCTCCAATCACCCTCCATGCAGCTGGGACCAGCCCAGAGGGCTGCCCTGGGGACATCCACCCACCCTGACAGATGGGCGACCGAGACCTGGGAGCTGGGCCTCCCCTCACTCTCTGTGCCCCTACCCCTCACCAGTCCCCAGGGATACCTCACTGTTCGCAGAGCCCCAGCCCAGCCCATAAGATGAAATCAGTGGCTTGTAGAGTTTAAAAAAACAGATAAAACCTTAAATCCAAGTCAAGTTCCAACAAGCACCCTGGCCAATAACACGGAGAGACTTGGGGTCTGGCCTTTTAATTTGTCCCCTGCCAGGGAGGTTCCTGGGGCCTCTCAGGTGGGTGCAGAAACCGCCCACGCCCAGGACTGAGCCATCAGGGACAGACCCCCACCCCCAAGGCTGCAACCACACAGTGTTACAGGCTTGGGGCTGGGGCAGCTCGGACTCAGGCCTGGACGCCCCGGGACCAGCACACCCCCAGCCCCCACCTGCCCCCTCCCTATCCGGCCCCTGCAGGACGGGCCTGCTGCAAGTCTCCCCTCTTCCCCACACCGCACTTGGGGGGTCTGAGCCACCCCCCGCCCCCAGCCCAGCTCAGCTCAGACTGACCCCCACTGCGTCCCCCAGGTCCGCAGCACAAGCGTGCCCAGCCGCGCGCCAGCCTGTCCTCCCAGGGCCTGGACAGCCTCCATATGCAATCGGGAGCGGAGCGGCCGGGCCCCAGACACATGCACTCTCGACGTGCCATTCTCCCGTGACTTTTTTGTACTTAATGTATGAAAGATCCAAACTAATAATGCTGTAAAAAGAAGAGAAATTAATATAGCTTATTCTATAAATATATCTGTATATAGAGGTTTCTGTATATTGTATAGAGCTGTGTATAAACTGAATGTAGAAGCACGATGATGGCCTGGAGTGACCTCTCTTCCCAGCGGGTTGGGGGAGGGGAGTGCTGCAGAGGTCAGGGACCCAATGGCGGAAGAGCCCCCTGGAGACAGGAAAGCGCAGGGGCTGTTCCCTGAACAAGCCAGAAAGTCCTGAGGGGCAACCAAGGACTCTGAGGACCAGAGCCTGTTCTCATCCCAGAGGCACGAGGTGTGTTTGGGGTGGTTTAGCAACAGAGCAGGCTGAGGCCGAGTGCTGGGTTAGAATTGCTGTCAGTTTACCTGCACACAACTTACGAGCGGCTCTTGTTAAAATGCCCATGCTGGTTCCGCGGATCTGGATGAGCGTGAGAGCCTGCATTTCTCACCGGCTCTGCATTGAGTCACAGTGAAGGACCAGAAGCCCATGTGTATGAGGGCAGCCACTTGTTGATGCTGCCTGTGTGGGAGGTGGACCAGGGGGCTCAGGTTTATAACATCATTACACCCTTGAAAGACAGGGCTTGTTTGCCCCTTTTTTCCTCCAGAGGAGTCCGAGGCTGGCTCCAAGAGGATAAGTAAGCTGCCCACAACCGCAGAGCCAGTGATTGGCAGAGCTGGGCTTTACCCCCCAGGCTGGTCTGACAGTATGGAGCCCTGGTGGTACAGTGGTTAAAGCATTCGGCTGCCAACCAAAAGGTTGGTGGTTCAGGCACTCCACAGGAGAAAGATGTGGCAGTCAGCTTCCACAGAGATTACAGCTTTGGAAACCCTATGGGGCAGTTCTTCTCTCTCCTATAGGGTCGTTATGAGTCCGAATCAACTAGATGGCAATGGGTTTGGTTTTCTCAGTTTCGGTCTAGCAGTGTCCCCCCACTCCACCCCATGCTGAGGGCTAGGCCAGGGGTGAGGGTACCGCTAAAAGCCCCCAGCAGGAGAGCACTGAAATGCAGGGGCCGCTGAAAGTCTTTGCCGAAGGTGTCCCTAGGCGGCCACCCTCCCTGGGACCCCATCCCAGCCTAGCTCCTGCAGTGCGGCCTGGGAGTGGCTAGAGGGCGCAGGGTGAGCAGGCAGCTGGGCCTCCAGCCACCACACAGCCGAGCCTGCCCCTTCCATACAGCAGGTGGCGCTGTTCTTCCAGCCAGTTCCGTCGTGCCCATGGAGGCTGGCCTGCCCATAGGTGGCCTGACCTTCCCTGGAGTCCTCCTTGGAGTGCCCTCCCCCCAGGCCCGAGTGACCTGGCGTGGTGAGGAGCTGAGGGAGGGCTATATGACAGTGCTCTCAGCCTATCTTCCCCCACTGGCTGTTTGAACAGAAGTAAAAACTGAGAGCGGAAGACTCACTCAAGGTCACCCAGGAGGTGAGGACAGATCTGGGACCGAGCCCAGGCCTCTGCCTCCCAGCCTAGGACTCGGGCCTCCACCCTCACCTTATGGTTTTCAGGGTCCTTCCCACACTATTGTCTTACCCATTCACAAACCACCCAGCCAGTTAGTCAACTAGCAACAGAGAAACTGAGGGCCAGAGGGGTTTTGTGACATGCATAAGGCCACACAGCCCGTGGGCAGAATGGGGAGGGGCCCTCATGAAGGGTAATGCTGGGCAGGGTGGAGCGGCACTGTGCTGCCAAGTCCCCACTCAGGACCCTCGGACGGCCCCTCCTGCCTCAGCTCTCCTCTGGGTCTGGGAGGGCAGTCTACCCTGCAGGATCCCTGGACCAGGACATGATCCCTCACCCCTGACCCCTAGTGACTCACCACCCTTTGGGCTTCTCTCTCTCCCTCTGGGAAATGGGGCTGATGCCAGGACTGGTTGCGTCTGTGAGAGGCCAGAAAGCCCAGGGTCACCCTCTCATGGGCTGGCCTTTTGCCTGTTACTTATTAACCCCCAAGTCTCTGGATGCCTTCTGCCCCTCAAGGGCCAGCAATGGGTGCTGGGACCTGACCCAGATCATAGAAAGCACCATCTGTTGAGCACTTACCTGGCACTTCATGGTCCCTGGGTAGCACAAACACTATGCACTCCACTACTAACCTAAAAGTTGGTGGTTCAAACCCATCCAGAGGCCCCACGGAAGAAGGGCCTGGTAAACTGATTCCATACAGATTACTCTGCAACATACACGGTCCCCATGAGTTAGAATTGACTTGATGGCAACGGGTTTGTTTTTGTTTGTTTGTTTTTTTTAACCTGGCACTTTACCTACACTGTGAGACAAATAACTGGCTGTGTTTTACAGAGGAGGACTCCAAGGACCAGAGGGCAGGCCTTGGAGAATGGGCTGAATGCACCACAGGGAACAATGGTCATAGCCCAAGAGTCTGCTGGGCTGGGGCTGAAGTCTCAATCCCTCACGCATTGTGGCTTGCGGTGGAAGTGCCCTGATGGGGACTCATCTCCACAGATGGGACCCCACAGTGTCCTGGGAGTACAAGGCTCCTAGGGCCCCTTCACCAGCCCCAGCCATCACCTGTCCCAGCACCAACCTCTGCCTCCCTTAGAGTTAGAGTTGGGGAGCACGGGAGAGCTAGCCTCAACCCTTGAGTGAGCCCTCGATGTTTCAGCCACCCCCCTTCCCCAACCCAGAGATGAAAACCCCTGAGGATAGTTGACCCTTTGCTCAGTGGCCTAGTGGAGTCAGGGGAGATGGCAGGGCCCCTGAACCAGGCCAGCTCCCACAAGATTATCAGTAGGCTCCAGCCCACTCCCTCCAATTGCAAGGCTACTTAGAGACTTAGTAACCTAGCCTCAGCAAATATCGTGAGATATAAATACATATATATGTATGTATATATTCGCAACAATAAAAGAAATCTAGCTTCAGGAGTTGGGGTTTTGGGGACAAAATATATATATCCTTCCACCCTACTCCTTGGCGACCAGGGTGAGGGTAATGCTGAACAAATCAGGAGGGCTCTCAAATGGTGGCCATTTATGCACTGCATTAGTTTCCTACAGCTGCTATAACAAATTACCACAACCTTGGCAGCTTAAAATGTATTCTCTCACAGTTCTGGAGGCTAGAGGTCTTAAATCAAGGCATTGGCAGGGCCATGCCCCCTG